ATTTGGAAAGATAAAGTTAGATCTATTCCTTATGGTATAAATAAACTGAACTCCAGATGAATCAGAGATTTAAATAAAATATGATACCTTACATGCATTGGAAGAATGCTTAGATGAACTCCTCCTTACAACCTGGGTGTAGAAAAAGACTTTCTATGACTCAAAATCCACATGCAATTAACAAAAAAAAATTGATTACCAAAAAATAAACTTGCACAAAAGCAAAATCAAAAGGCAAACTGACAGACTGTGATAAGCTATTTGGAACATAATATATCATGGGCTGATATCTCTAATATATATAAGATATATAGATATTATATAGATAATAATGCATCTTATATAAGATATTATTATATCTTATATAGACAAGATACAATATCTATAATATGGATAAGATACTATATGTTTGTCTATATGTTTATATGATTTATCTTTAATGAAAAATGGAAAGACCAAAAATGAGCAAAAGATACAAGCAGACAGTTCACAAAAGAAGACTAAAATAGGTCTTCTGAAGTACATGAAAAGATGATCAACATGAAAAGATATATAGAGAAATATAAAAGGGCACCAAAATGCCTACCATTTTTTCACCCATCCAATTGTCAAAAACGTAAAAAACTTGACAAAATAGTCTGTTCAGGAGACTTTGGGGGAAAAATCATTTTCATTTGTTGCTTGTAGCTATGCAAAATGGTACAACTCCTATGCATGGATACTTGATGATAACCAAATTATATCTGTATTTACCCTTTCACACAGTAATTCCACTTTGAGGATACACCTTTAACAGTACTACAGTATATGCATGGCGTTATTCATTGCAGTATTGTATATAATGGTTAAAATATTGCAAACTACCTAAATGCCCAGATATAGGAGACAGGTTGAATAAACTATGGTGCTGTTAGCTATAAAAACAAATTGGGAAGATCTCTATAGGTAGTATGAAGTTAATTCTAGAATATGCTAAGAGCCATGTCACTGGTAAAGATGCTGGGAAAGATTGAAGGCCAAAGGAGAAGAGGATGAAATGGTTAGATAGCATCACAAACTCAATGGATGCCAATCTGAGCAAATCCCAGGAGATAGTGAAGGACAGGGAAGCCAAGCGCAACTCCATGGGGTCTCAAAGAGCAGGACACAACTTAGCGACTCAACAACAGCAAACAGTTGAAAAAAGCAAAGTGCAGGGGGCTGCCTTTCTTTTTAGTAATAAAGATGAAATAAGAAAGCAAACATTTATCTTCTGATTTCCTCAAGAAGATGCATAGGAACCAGAAAAAAAAAATGTCATAGATTATGCTCTGAGGAGGTTAGATGGGCAGGCTGAGTGCATTGTCATATGTGCATATAATGAGGTGTTGCACACAGCACTGGATGGATCATACAAGCAGCATGTCGCGCTAAAGCCAGACACAAGGGTGTATACGATTCCAGTTACATGGTTACATTTTACTACAGATGTGTGATACCCCAGTACCTTTTTTAAGTTCATTAAAATATACTGTACCTACATCAGGAGTGGCAAAATCATCTCACCTTTTAATTCTGAGAAGTGAGGAAAACGGTATCGATCTTGTTAAGTTCATCTGTAGAGTGCTGCTTTGTTATAACTAGTGGTTCACTTCCGAGGTCACAAAAGCTGATTGATCTCACCTGTGGTGTACACCAAGAGCAGACCTGAGCTTTAGAGCCAGACAACAGGTACACGGGGGCACGTGCGCAGAGCATCCACCGGAGGTGCAGAAATACATGGCCTTCCCCTGCCGCTGTCATCTGCAGGCAACGGGGAAGAAGGAAATGCCCAATTCTAAAACCGTTAGGCAATAGGAGTCGCTGAAACAGGAGCCCATGTAAGGTGGGGTGGGGAGGGTGAGAGAAGAGAGATGGAGAGCTGATTTTCTGTTGCTGTCTGGTGCTCCTGTTGGTAGGAGGGTTCAGTTCAGTTCAGTTCAGTCGCTCAGTTGTATCCGACTCTTTGTGACCCCATGAATCGCAGCACACCAGGCCTCCCTGTCCATCACCAGCTCCTGGAGTTCACTCAAACTCATGCCCATCGAGTCGGTGATGCCATCCAGCCATCTCACCCTCTGTCATCCCCTTCTCCTCCTTCCCCCGATCCTCCCAGCTTCAGGATCTTTTCCAACGAGTCAGCTCTTTGCATGAGGTGGCCAAAGGATTGGAGTTTCAGCTTCACCGTCAGTCCTTCCAATGAACACCCAGGACTGATCTCCTTTAGGATGGACTGGTTGGATCTCCTTGCAGTCC